TTAGTCCCAATATTCTTTTTATTAAATCCAAATAACTCATTTTTAATCCAAATAAATATATTTTCCAAAATTATATTAATTCTTCATAATACTTTTTATTCCAAAAAGTCCAATTAATTATGTTTCCTCATATATTAATATTGGAAATAACAATGATAATAATTAATAATAATTTTCACATCACCATTAATTATCTCATTTTATTTACCACATATTGATACTATGAGTTCATAATCTTCTAGCACTTCCTCAAGACACATCCGCGAATAAATTAATACTGGAAATGAAATTAATTAAAATGAGCGTTACAATAACCACTAAGACAAACAGTCTTAGTCTTCTCAAGAAATCTGACCACACTTGGTCTCTTAAGGAACTTTATAACAAGTAAAAATACAATGTGTGTTTAAGAGTTGCTTCTAAAAAGCTATATCACAACTGTGATTTTACACAAATGAAGAATAAATTAAATCTAAAATGAAGTTGAGAGATGTTTGGATATTGTTCTTTTTGTTGTTCAGTAATTCGTCAACTTAGAAATGATGTAGAAGTCTTATTTAAATAGAACTTCATTTTCATTTCTTAAAGGGCGTGCAATTGGCATTCTGACTTCTTTGACTTTTCTTTCCCAGAAGAGGAATGTTCAGACAAATCCTTTTTGTCTGAATTCTTGTGTCATGCACGAATGAGGAAAGAGCCGTTTGGATAAGGACAAGGAATATGCCAACGAATCTTTATTTGAACAACATCTTCTTCAACAAATCTGGAACAATCTTGCATCAGATCCTCTAATGATGTTCCTTGTTCTTCAGATTAGAGTTACTCTATTCAGAGTATTTGCAGCCATGTGTTTTAGCGTGAATGATCTTTATTAGAGAAGACTTGAATATCAGAGCCTCTGTACTTGCAGCGTTAAGTACTTCCAGAGTCTTCTGATTCTTTACATATGCTTTTTCGCTCAGAGTCTTCTGCAGCTTCGCTCAGAGTCTCTTTTAGGCAGCGTTCAAAGTCTTCTGATTGTTGACATATGCTTTTTCGCTCAGAGTCTTTTGCAGCTTCGCTCAGAGTCTCTTTCAGGCAGCGTTCAGAGTCTTCTGATTCTTAACTTTTAGAGGAGTTTTTGCTGCCAGAGGAATATTAATTTTAATATCTGAAACAAAAACACTTGAATACGATTAGAGAATATATTTACTTCATACAAAATTTCATTAATGTTATCATCAAAACATAGAGATATATATTAAGAACCAATCTGTGTTCTAACATTGATCCCCCTCTTCCGCTGCGCAGTCGCCTCTTCCTTGCTCAGCTCCAGCTCGACAATCAGTTTAGTCAACCTTGACTGAGCGAAGGCGAGGCCCCCCTGCAACTTGGCCATCTTGACAGAAGAGCAACCCTCGTCGCTTAACACCAGAGCGGTTGAGAAAACATGCATCATTGTGTCCAGGTCCTCGGTGAGCACCTGCCTCCGGGCATCCCGACTCGCCCCGAGGACAACCTTTGCCTCTGAGGCCGACACAACCAGTGACCTAGCACCGTGGAAGAACTAGGATTTTGGTGGTAGAGGGGATGAGAAACCCCTTCTCAGAAAATCCTTCTGTAAGGTCGACAACAGCGCCAGACGACTCAACTCTTGCCCGCTTCCCGACCCCCTGCGATGTCGGGGAGTGACGACGAGGACCCCCTCTCCCCTTGGTCGGTAACAACCTGCTGCACCACCTGAACAACCCTGCCCTTCCCGATCTTGGCCGCAGCTCTGGAGGCTGCCAACTTCCTCACGCGCTCCTCGAGGGACAATATGCTTCCTGCAAAAACAAAACAAAATAGGGTTAGCAAACAGGCACACGGGAAACAAAACGAGCAATAATTTATCGTCCACCACCTAGAAAACAAAGAGCCTCCTCGTCAGACGAGCACTCGAGCAGAGCCTTAAAGTTTATCAGCCTCTTCTGTTGGCAGATATTCCCTTGGCTGTTGCGAATAAATTCACCGTCGGATGTAACCAGCTTGGTCGGGGAGAAGCCGACCACGAAGGACACTATCCTATGGTAGCCCACCAGGTCGTCCTCGTCCATGGTCCCTGCCCATACAATGTAATGGTCCGTGCCCTTCTTAAAATGCTCCTCCATCCATTCCAAAGGTACTCTCGACACCATGACTTCCAGCCGCTCCCCGTTCACTTGGCGGGTTTCTCGTCGATATAGAGAGGTGCACGCCTTGAAAGAAATAGGCCGAATCACATAGAAGTGCATCTTGAAGTCTCGGACAGAATTCATATATGCCCGAAAGAGTCTCCTCGGCTGTTTTAGCGAAACCCACCCTTGCTGACCATCCATTGTTTGCCTCTGTAGATGGAAAAGGCGGAAAAACAACGTAAGGGTGGTCCCGATATCCAGATGCCAGCACACGAGCTTGTATGCCCGGATGAAGGCCACGACGTTGGGATGCAACTGTGAGGGAGCCAACTTCAGCCAGTTGAAGACGCCCTGCTAGAAGTCGCTAAAAGGCAGCCTGAGACCGGCCCTGCGGAGGTAAAACTCATACATCGGAAACCTCATCTTCCCGTATGTCAAGCAGATTCGATGATAGTCCCACGATCGATACACCCGCCAGCTGATGGGAGAATCCTCGCAATGATCCTCGACAGTCGCGAAGGCGCCGATGTCATCGTCGACAAAATATAACTCTGTGTTTAGTAGTTCTTCCGCGACCCATTCTGCGATAGGACGAACACATTGTTCATCTACAGGAGCCTCCGGCTCTATGTCAACCTCCATGGTCCCCGACAACCACGAAGTCATATTCACCTAAAAAGCATAAGGAAATGGTGAATTCGACGTTCAGGATCAAATTCACCCTTCCACCACCGGTCAAGTGAAAGGGCGAGGGGTACGACGACCACAACTCGGCGGTAGCTCGTGCTCACACGACGTCCACTTCCGCCCGAGCGTCCCTCCCCAGGACATTCATCCAATCCCCTTCATCGTCCCTAAGATATTCATCTAACCCTATTCTATGTCCCCAAGGCACTCAACTATCTTATATCCCCGGGGTCCCCATCCTTAACACCTCAGTCGTCCCCAGGACATTCATGCTACAACCCCAAGTGTCCTCGAGACCTTCATCCTAAACCTAAGGATACGCCGCCGTATTTGACGGAAGACCTTCGCCCTCTCGGGGCATTCATCATGCCCCCGATGACGGCGTCAAGTGTAAAGAAAATAAAAGAAGGGAATAGAGGAACTTACTGGATTGAAAGTAGCGGCGGAGCACGCGGTGGATGCTACGGCGACGTTGGTGAACAAACGTTACATGCGAGAGTAAGCGAAGGTGAAAAATAGTAAATGGGTAAGGACTTGCCTATTTATACACCCAGCACGAGACTCGAAGCACCCCCAGGCACTCGGTTACCCTAGGGTGGCTGCCCTACAGGACCCACTGAGTGTTAGACACGTGGCCACTAAAGTCGGCCGCAACCTTTCATTCTCCCCGCGAGCACGGGCATACGAGGACGCTCCCACCTTCCCCTCCTTGACATTACAGCCCGACGAGACCAAGATCCTCGCGCTCCGACACAGCATACCCACGAAGAACCTTACTCGCACATTCTTCCACCCCGACACAATATCGTCAAGTCCTCGCTCCTTTACTTTGGAGCTACGACTTGAGGGGCTTCTTTTCTGGACTGAGCCCAGGCTTGCCCATCCTTCGGGCAGACCCAACCCAACGCTATTTAGGGAAGGCCCAAGTAGGCCTAAGTCACTTAGTGTCGGGCACAGTTCCCTCCGTCAGGCAGAATAACACGTCTTCCATACGTTCTCTACGTGTCCCTCCGCAGGAACACGTCATCAGCCAACTATCCACCTCCGAAAAAGCTGGTCAGCCCACCTTTCGGGATCACAGGACAGTCGAATTAGGGCGAAGACCACATGCTGGTCTTCAGTACGCCACGTATGCCCTAGCAGTCACCTGGGTTGAGCCTGATAATCCAGCCCAACACAAGTGACCGTTGGCCCTGCGTTGGAGTCTCTCTATAAATACCCTCTTTCACCAGAGGGTCAGGTATTCACTTCTTAACTCTTCTCTGTATTTGCATCCACTCTGGTCCATTACTTACTTTGGCATCAGAGTGTCTTGCAGGTACACCCCCTCCTCCTTCCTACTCCTGGTGAACAACTTGCAGATCAACAACGCGTGACAGGTCGCTGATTCTCTTCTGATAAGGTAAGATCAATATTAATATTCAATTCTATTTTTTTACTATCCAATGTAAAATTAGATGAATATATTATTTGACTCAACATAATTATGATTGTATATATATTCCGTCACTGATGCAGTGGATTGTTTGTCTTAATTGTTGGCCATTATGTCCGACCTAAAATAAATGATTACTCTCATGTTAACTAGGTGAGAAAAACAACTTATGCAATCATCCAATTAAAAATATTGGTATATATAAGTATTAAAAGTAGCGTCAAACAAAATTATAATTATATATTTTAACATTTAAATAATTCTATGTATAACATTTTTAAATTATTAAATAATTAAATATAATAATAAATAATTAAATTTAAAAAAAAGAGTTGACATTACTTAAATGAGTGAAAGGCCAACAAAAGTGTTGCACTCTTAAGCTATTTTGGTGGTGGGGTGGTTATTTAAATATCTTTTTGCTAAAACAAATAAAGCATTTGAAGAATTTGTTTTCAAACTAGTATTTTATTTGAAAAAAAAAACTCCCATGTGAAAACTGGAAAACTTGTCCTTAAAGGATATAAAAATATATAAAATAAAATAAGAAAACAAAACTGTGTTAGAGTGTACCACTGCAATTCAAGTCGGATCTTGGAGCATCGAAGATCCGAAACAGTTTGAGATTTGTGATTGTGATTAAAGAGAGCAATTTCCGTTCGCTATTTTGGGTCAACCGAAAAAGATAATAATAAAAAAAAAACCAGAAAAGACACCGAATTCCGGCGAACACATTCATCAAAATGAATCCGCCGCCGGCACCAATCCGGTGGCGCACAACCGCAATCCCAATTCTCGTGGTGGTTCTTATTTTAGCCACCATTTCTCCTTCTACCGCAATCTACTGCGACGAAGACGATTGCTATGATCTTCTCGGGTCAGCTAACCTTACCCAACGTATTTCTTTTCCCCAATTTTTTTTTCAATTTTGTTGATTTTTTCAAATTTTTTTATTGCAGGGTTACTCAGAGTGCAAATTCTTCTGAAATCAAGAAAGCATACTACAAACTCTCATTGAAACAGTACCTCTTTCTCTCTCTAAGCTCGTTCTTTACTTTCTCTCTTTAATTTCATGTTATTTTAGTTGATTCATTTATCTTTGGCTTTCTATTTAAATCAGTCATCCAGATAAAAACCCTGATCCAGAATCGCGAAAGATTTTCGTTAAAATCGCAACTGCTTATGAGGTGATTTTGTTATTCTTTCGATAGAATTCAACTTTTTGCAATGTGAAGCTGATTAAAAAGAAGCCACATTGCATTATGTCTTGGTGAGAAATGGTTTGTTGTGATTATGAATGATGGAATTATAACTTGTTTACAGATTTTGAAGGATGAGGCTACACGAGAAAAATACGATTATGCAATTGCACATCCGGAGGAGGTATTTAGGTTTTCCATATGTATAAGTTTGATCCGTGATTTGTTTGTAATGTTCATAATGTTCATTGATTGAAGTAGAATTGGGTTCGATCCTTTTGATTCCAGGTGTTTTATAATACTGCACAATACTATCGGGCGTACTATGGTCACAAGACGGTGAGATTTGCTCCATATTCATTGCCGAGCATTAATGTGTTTTGGTTGGAATTGACTTGAAATGTTGAACGATTGGATGATGTTTTTACCTTTGAATTTGATTTTGTTAGAACTTGTATATTTTAACTTGCTAGGATGCTCGCGCTGTATTGGTTGGCCTTCTTCTTATTCTTTCTGGTTTCCAATATCTGAATCAAACGACAAGGTATAATCAGGTACTGTGATATATTAAATATCATTTGATTTTATGACCTTAATGTGAAGTGATGTTCTGATATTTAGCTGCTTATACAAAAATATATATTGCCAAAAGCGTATAGATTTGTAATTTGTAATTACGTGAATGTGCATTTATCCCAATCCGTGGTTTAACCGAGCTAATGGCTGAAGAGATGTACTTATGGTGTTAAGTATTATATTCAGCTGACTTATGCAGCTATGCCAAGCAGTCTGGCTCAATTTTACAAGAGGTTTTGATTTTGTACAAACCATTTCATTTGTATTCGTGGGAATAGAATTAAATTGTCTGTTTGTGGGAACATATATTGGCAAGGAACCTAGGTCTTTGATGGAAACTTAAAACTCAGATAATGGAAAATGTATTATGATTGAATCTAAAACTATTACATAGAGTAATATGTATAATCCCAGAGTCAAGTACTCCTCAGAGGAGGGATAATTCTCATTCTACCCAACCGAAAAGGTTTCTAACCAGAAATATACATAATGAATTCTCCATTGGTATCAGTGACGACCTTATATAATTACCCTTCACTTCTAACATAAGTAGCTATAATATAAGCAATTCTCTATTAAGCCTTTCTATCAGGCTAAGGCCCAAATCCAGTATCCTATAAATCTTAAAGTTGAGTGTTGCTACAACACAGATATTGTCTGATGAATCTAGGTGTCAATTTAAGCTAAAATGTTTGAAATCTCTAGTCTTGGATGCAAGCTAAATACTTGAAGTAGGTTAGGCCTTTGCAAGGGAGTGCCACATTTTGAAGTTATGTATAATCGATTTTTGTGAATTGCTCGATTTGTTATTTGTGAAATGTTTTTGGCAGATTAAAACATCCAGATTCATTGCACTGACTTTTTTTTTGTGTTAATTAAGGCTGTGGCCATGGTGAAGAAGACACCAGCTTATAAAAATAAACTAAGGGCGTTGGAACTTGAGCGTAATGGTGGGGTTACAAATAAGAAGAAGGGTCAAAAGAATAAGGACAGGTATGGTATCACTCTGATTCTGGATAGCCCTTGTATGTTACCTATGTCTACTGGCTTTCTCAATTTGGTTGTCCTCCTTGCAAACCTTCATTTCCTCTGTTAAATTAATTTGTCTTTGATTCATAAGATTTGGATATTCCCTGTGTAATTTCTTTACTTTTGATACACAATGTGAATGTGAATGTCCGTATATACAGAAAAGTGGAGGAAGACCTCAGTAAAGTTGAGGAAGAACTTGATCTGCAGATAACAGGAACTGAAAGGCCCTCCATATGGAAACTTATTGGTGTCCGCATCATTCTTTTACCTTATACTTTAGGAAAGGTTAGTACTAAAATAATCTATTTGGAAAGTGAAGTCATATTACTTATAATATCTAATATTGCTTTATGTGTAACTATTTTTCATTAATTCTGTCCTCCATTCAGCTGCTGCTATGGTCTTCCTGTTGGTTTTGGACATACAAGGTGAAAAAATCCCCTTATTCTTGGGAAGATGCTTCTTATCTCACACAAAGTTCCCTTGGTCTTCCTGATGACAGATGGAGAAGTATAGGTGATTGCAATTTCTCCATGATGAACCTTAGGCACTAAGAGTTTTTGTTCCGAAATAGAACCATCCTGTTTTTAAAACCTGTTATTCTGAATCGTACATGCATAGTCTAACTGACTAGAACATCTCTTGAGGATTCTGAACCTATTGAGTTTTACTGATTTGGTGCCTGTTACTAATAGATGAAGCAACAAAGGAAGATCTTGTGCTAAGAAGCTTATGGGAGAAGTCAAATATGGAGAGCTACATGACAGAAATGCGGAAAGAATCAAAGCGCAGAAGATAGCTCTTCACCTGCTCTTTTCAAAGGGCAAAATTTTGTTTTACTTATCTTAATTACAACGTGATAGTTAAAATTATAACACTTCAAAATTATTTATTATGGGTAGCTTTATTAATATTTTTGGGGGAGAAGAGTAAAATTGTTCTGGTCCAACACAATGTTATATTTATAAACAAGATGTACTAAGTTAGCACATGAAGTTTAAATAGGTTGCTCTGACTGTCCGTAAACAGAAAATCGAAGGAAACTGGTTTAGCTATGACTACATTCTTTTAATGTAGGTACTTGACCTCAGTCTTGCAGCCATTGAATGTTTGGCAGTGGTTTTGTGCACCTGTTGTTCAATAAGTATGAGGAGTTTTATCAGAAAGTGGCATGTTGTAGCAGAGTTATGAATTGTGTGTAAAAGATACATGTGAAAGACCTCTGTTTTTCATTATTTTTAGCTTTAAAATGCCATGTTTCATTCCGCTTACTTAGGCTGGTGCTTAACAAATTTCAGTTGGAATAATGATCAAGTTATCATAAAAATGAAAGAGAAATTTGCCAATGATAATATTCTTTTATGTTCTTTTGATAGTAACTAAACACTGACAATAGTAGTTTAAAGTGTAGTCTCTAGATGTCCTGTTTAGTTAGTTCAGTTGGTAGTTGTATATTGACATCAAATAGGAGGATACGAGTTTAATCCTGCGACATCTGATTTGTTAACCTTTAAAAAATGAATTTCAGCCGTTAAATTATTCAAATATGAAGGTAGTCTCTAGATGTCCTGTTTAGTTAGTTCAGTTGGTAGTTGTATATTGACATCAAATAGGAGGATACGAGTTTAATCCTGCGACATCTGATTTGTTAACTTTTAAAAAATGAATTGCAGCCGTTAAATTATTCAAATATGAGGGTACAAGTTTGATCCTGCGACATTCAATTTGTTAACCTTTAACAAAAAGAATTTCAGCTGCTAAACTATTAAAAAAAAAGTAGTATCTAATACATTGCATTTTTGAATTGTGTGATGAAATCATACGTTTGAGAGTTAATGACTATTACATACATTTAGTTAGTTAGGTTGCTCTCGGCAAAGAAATCACCCCAACAACACAACGCACTATCGTGTCTGCAACCACAAACAGTCACATACAAGACTACTTTATTGTAATTTATCGACAAATGCATATTATTTTATGTCACATTCTTTATTCTTAAATTTTTTAAATTAATTACTTTATTTTAAATTTTTACACAGTTAATTAATGAAAAAAAGACATGCATTACACTAAAACTTATTTTTATTTTCAAAAAATTGAAATGAACATGACAAATGTAAGAATTTTGATCAGTTGAATGTCTAAAATTATTTTACACGACAATGCATTATCTTTAGACTTTTTATCAAGGAAAAAAAATGCTCAGTATTATACTATTAATTAATGAGAGACATGCATCACAATAAAACATATTTTTATTTTTAAAAGATTGAAATGACATGACAAATTATACTTTTTATCAATTAAAATAAAGTTTATAAATTTTCACATAATTCTCATAATTTTATAAATTTCATTCTTATTTGATTTGTTTCTTAAGGTCAAAGAAAAGATAAAAAAAGTATAATACCGTCTCCATTAACAAACAAATATCCTTTTTTCAATTACAAACTTCTCAAAAATGACGACACCGTCATCTCCAGCTTCACTAAAACTCCTAGTATTTTTTCTCACTCACTCACTTACGATCGCCGCTTACGATCTAAAGAGAAGAATTAATATAATTAAAATATTCAATAATAACTAATTAAACATTACTATTATGTTTTATAAGATATTGGAAAAACGCCATCAGCACATGCAAGTAACGAAACAACCCCTACACATTTCATTTACATGCCGCTTGAGAGAGAAAAACATTATCTAATTTTTTTTCAATCAATCACATAGTTCTCTTAATAATAAATCTGAATTAGAAATAAATCATTAAGTAATATTCTGCATAAAAAACAAATAAAATATTTGATACTAATTATTTAGCTAAAAAATTGGATCACCCTTCCAAATAATTCTCATTCCACATACAATAAAATGCAATTATTTAGCACTCAAATCTAGGTGAGACATAACAACCTTTTACTAAGACACCTAAAACACACATACCTTGATTCTAAATATAAAATTTAGATGTCAATAAATTTCTAAAATTATTAGATTAAATTATTTAAATATTAGATCTAAAATTTCTCCAACTTTAAAAAAATCCACCATTTACATTCCATATGAATCATATAAAATTAGTGTATCAGATATAATTAGTGAAAGAGAAGATAAAAGAAAGTACAATACCGTCTCCATTAACAAACAATTTTTTTTTTTCAATTATAAACTTCTCAAAAATCACATCACCTTCGTGTTATATATGTTAGATTAATTATTTAATTAATTAAATATGGATTGACATAATTAATTATTAATTAATTATATTATGATCTATTGTTATTAAACACTAAATAAATAAAATGTTTGATTGGGTTTTGTGTCTGAATGGACCGTAATGGGTTGGATCATCAGTTAAGCCCAATGAGAGGTTACTACCCTCAGCCGTTTAGCTATTTAAGTGTCTCTCCATTAGACAATTAAATTACTCTGAAAATTCTAAACGATAATAAGGGTAATAATTCTCTCATACTCACAAGCTTCGACAACAGTCTCGCTTCAATCTTATACAACAGTCTCTCTTCAATCTTATAAGCTTAAGTCTCTTCAATCTTATAAGGTACAAGGTACACCGTTTCAATTCAGTTATAAATTCACGTGCATTTTTACAACCACACGCGCATATCAAAATGGACGTAAATTTCGTGACCGAGAGTGGAGAATCTTTCACACTGGAGTTAAATCCCTTCAACACTATCCTAGAAGTAAAAGAGATAATACAAAAGTATCTCAACATTTCCATTTTCAACCAAATTCTAATCTTCAACAACGAATTTCTCAACGACGCCGACATCATCTTAGCGACCGACATCACTCACTTTTCAATCATTCATCTCCGAACCATTCCTGACACACGAACCAAGAATCCAGAACCGCAAGAATCATCGGTAGAGGCACCAGCAACACAACCGCGAGAACCGCAAGAATCATCGGTAGAGGCACCGGCAACACAACCGCGAGAACCGCAAGAATCACCGGTAGAGGCACCGGCAACACAACCGCGAGAAGCACCGGCAACACCGTTGTTAAATTCAGAATCACGAACATTGAGTGTGACGATGGTTCCTAGGACTAATAGAGGGGAAGGTGATTTTATGGTTAGCGAAATAGAACCATTTACGAAAGTAAGTGATTTAAAGATGTTTCTGGAAAGTTACAAGAAGAATGTTGTTCGGCAAGACGGTAATTACTTTTTCGTTCATAACCGTGAAGTTATGTATGAAGATAGGTCGTTTCAGTGGCACGGGGTGAAAGAAGGAGACAAGATTGAAATCTATGATGGAGTTGTTGATAACAATTACTTAGGTGATATACCCATTTATTTTTAGAATTAGAAAATATACTTTTCAATTCTACGGTTGTTGCTCAGTTAAATGTTAGATCTTTATAATTGCTTTAAATGTTAGATCTTTATAATTGCTTTATGTGTAATATGCTTTTTACATAATACGAATTAGCTGTGGCAGTTTTTTAGACTGTGTAATATGCTTTCCTTCTAACTGTAATGCAATCCAGCAATCCAGCGGTGATCCATAAAGAGGCCAATTACATGGAAAATATGAAGGAAATGCAAATTTTTCCAAATCCAGCAATCCAGCGGTGATCCATAAAGAGGCCAATTACATGGAAAATATCAAGGAAATGCAAATTTTTCCATGCGACTAAAATGTTTAATAAAAAATAAGTAAATTACACTACTAATAAAAAGGAAATACCTGAAATAATATTTGTTTTATAAGATTTTCCATCCAATTTAATTATTTCGAAGACAAATATATTTAGAAATAATTCAACATTGAGGCATTCTTTGAATAAAGAAGAGTTAAAATATTATTTGGACCGATCCCCAATACACGTTGAGGCTTGAAGCATAATTTAAAATGAGATATTTTTAAAATTAACAGTAATTTTTATTTAAAATTTTATTTTATATATTTTTTAGATATAAAATTATTTATTAAATTATTATAATTGATTTTATTTACTATTGTAATCGATTTTATTTACTATATTAGTTATCTTCTTTCATGTTTTTCTTTATTTGATATTTTTTAATATAAAATGAGAAAAAAATATGTCTTAAAGATTCATTCTTCCGAAAATCTATATCGATAACTTAAGGAAATATTTTTCTACGAATGAATATCTTAAATTTGTACTTTATCTATTGGCTTGGAACACATATATTTTTAACTATGTCTACTCTTCTTTTATTAATAAATTATTATAATCAATTTCATTTACTATTGTAATCGATTTTATTTACTATATTGTTGTAAATTCACCTCACACCCTATAAAGAATTTCCTTCAATCTTGATCTCAAGATAATCTTGATCTCAAGATTGATGAACAAACTCACCTCACGCGAGTTTTTCAATTCAGTTATAAATTCACGTTCATTTTTACAACTGCACGCACATATCAAAATGGACGTGAATTTTATGATCGAGAAATCACTTCAACACTAGATAATACAAAATTATCTCAGTATTCCCATTTTCAAGCAAATTCTAATCTTCAACAATATATATATATATATATATATATATATATATATATAAATTTGCATAATTTTAATTTCAAAAAGAAAATGAATAATATTTTAAGAAATTTCTCCTTGTATGCAATTATTATATAATAGTTACTAGAGATTCAAAATTAATAAATAATTAAATACAACTAACCTAAAAAAGAATGTGAAATTTATCCTTGTGAGTAAAGGTATTAAACTTTAATGACTTTTAAAATATTATAGTATCATCTCAAAATGACTCATAAACAACGAATAAATCGT